CAAAACACACGGTGTGCGTGGAAACGCAGACCCAGGTGGGGGTTGTCAGGTCCGGGCCTCGTTAGAGCAGGCTCTGCTTTCGACAAGAGGTTTTTAAAAAGCCATCTGAATTCTTAAAGTGTTTTATTTCTCTCCCCCCCAAACCATCAGAAGATCCCGTTGGAATTTTACATCTCTGATAAAATAAAGCTAATTTTCAGCTTAGAGTTCTCCGCAGTGTCACGTTGTTCTTGGTTGGTTACTCTTTGTCGAGTACTGTTTTCCCACCCAGGGTGTTGCGGCTGTTTCCAGAGAAGCCCTGTCTCGGCCTACACAAACCACGCTGGCGTAATGGAGCCCCGCCAGGCAAGTTCTTCATTCCCCTAATTATGCTAACGAGCTCTAGCCCCCTCGCACACAACACACCGGAACCCTGTTCTCGCTAAGGGCTTGCTCCTGCCTTGGTATCACTGCTTCCCCACCCGTGGCGTAATGCCACGACTGACGGGCTCCGCAGCCAATCTCATGAAGAATTCCTGATAACTTCTCCGGCAGCAGGACCCTTCCATCCCGCTCGGGTTCCGACTGCTCCATTCCTCAAGCTCTGCATGTTCTCAAACCCAAACCCTCCAGCCCATCCCCTGCGATGTGTCACTTCCCCTCTGAATTGACGGTACTTCCCAGCAAAATGCAATAGCAAATTTTGAGTTTGTCATGAAGAAGTTTTGCAGCTGGCAACATAAAGGCTCCCCCCCTCACACAAAATCCAGCGGGACTAAAGCATCTTCTTGCCATCCATCACACACTCCAAGCTTATTTATTTCTCTCTGCACAGAGGTCTTTGCACCACAGCTAATGTCACCCCGCGGTCACCACAAGTGCTATATTTGGTGGTGACATCACGTAGCCAGCATCTGGCAGGAACCTCCAACCGGGTGATGCTTCCAAGCCAGCTGTGAACGGTTGTGGCAGGGGCCACGCACACATAACGTGAACATCGGTAGTAAACAGGACACAGATGCCTCCTGTGAGGAGCAGATTCCGAAATAATTGCAAGAGGAAACACATTTCTGTGGCAGAAATGCTATTTCTTGAGGTCACAGGGAAAAGAAACCAAAAGAGGCAACTTTTCCTCCTTTAGTTTTAATTTTCTAAGTAGGACACAGCATTGATGTATGTGATCTAGACCAGCTTGACAAAGCCTAACCCTTCAAAGTAACGGTTAGGGCAGGACTGTGCGACACCAGGTTGCCTTGCACTGCTGTCATCAGTTAACCCAGATGTTTCCTTATTTTAACATCCTTGCATGTCACCTAGGACAGAACGTTGCTGTACTACAGCGCTCTCCGCTTGGCGCGATTTCCAGACTTGCTCACTGAACTCAGCAAGAAGCTTTCTACTGATTCACTGGGGCTTTAGACCGGTTGCTGAAGTTTTAGAGCTCCTTAGGAAAAAAATCCTCTCTAGGCCGACTGGTAGGGACAATCAAATCAGCAGAGGAAAACCAGGGTGAGAGAGAGGGAAACCAGGCCTGGGTGCCATGGGGCTTTTACTGCCAAGCAAGCGAATGGCATATTCTCTTGATGCTTTACTCCTTTTGGAATCTTCTTGTTAACAGTGAATTCTTCAGAATGGCAAGATGATTTAGTTTTATTCTTCTGAGACTGTGGCCAAGAGCTTTGTTTTTCTTTCACATTCATCTCAGGCTGCAACCCCTCTGCCTGTGAAAGACCAGTGTAGGAAGCGGGTTTGGGCAGAAGGGCTCCACCTTCATTGTAGTAGCCTTTGTGCAGAAAGGATGGGCCAAGGGTAGTAAACTACGGAGAGGAGTGCAGGGGTTAAATATGGGAGGCAAAAGGAATTTGGAAAAGGTTACCAGTCGTTCTCTGGAGAAGCCCTAAGTAAGGAAAGGCTGTTACAAATAATAAAGGCCAGCGAGTGACCGAACAAGAAATCGTTCCAGCATAAAAGCAGCAAACATCGTACGACAGGGAAGCATTAACTCATTTCCTCATCACTGACCACCAGAGGGAACTCTTGCAACAAGATTCCCACGAGCTTCCAGCAGAGAAAGCCAAACCTGACAAAAACCTCCACCAACTCCCGTAGTTTTGTGGTTCAGATGAAAACAGGGGGAGATGGGGTACAAGGGTGGGGACTGGGAAGGGAGGGGAAAAAAACCCCAAGACTATGGGCCCTCAGTCAAAAGGAGAAGTTTTTACAGTGGTCTGGCAGGGGTCAGAAAAATGGTGAATTTTGCCATTGTAAGAAAGTCCTGCTTTGTTTGTTTGAAGTCTGTGAATGACCAAACAAAATAGACATCTTTCCTTGCTGCTATGATTTAACCCTCCTGGTGTCCTGGGCTCTCAACAAGGACCTGGAGCTTTTAAAATCTGTGCAGCAGATGCCTCCTGTGAGGAGCAGATTCCGAAATAATTGCAAGAGGAAACACATTTCTGTGGCAGAAATGCTATTTCTTGAGGTCACAGGGAAAATAAACCAAAAGAGGCAACTTTTCCTCCTTTAGTTTTAATTTTCTAAGTAGGACACAGCATTGATGTATGTGATCTAGACCAGCTTGACAAAGCCTAACCCTTCAAAGTAACGGTTAGGGCAGGACTGTGCGACACCAGGTTGCCTTGCACTGCTGTCATCAGTTAACCCAGATGTTTCCTTATTTTAACATCCTTGCATGTCACCTAGGACAGAACGTTGCTGTACTACAGCGCTCTCCGCTTGGCGCGATTTCCAGACTTGCTCACTGAACTCAGCAAGAAGCTTTCTACTGATTCACTGGGGCTTTAGACCGGTTGCTGAAGTTTTAGAGCTCCTTAGGAAAAAAATCCTCTCTAGGCCGACTGGTAGGGACAATCAAATCAGCAGAGGAAAACCAGGGTGAGAGAGAGGGAAACCAGGCCTGGGTGCCATGGGGCTTTTACTGCCAAGCAAGCGAATGGCATATTCTCTTGATGCTTTACTCCTTTTGGAATCTTCTTGTTAACAGTGAATTCTTCAGAATGGCAAGATGATTTAGTTTTATTCTTCTGAGACTGTGGCCAAGAGCTTTGTTTTTCTTTCACATTCATCTCAGGCTGCAACCCCTCTGCCTGTGAAAGACCAGTGTAGGAAGCGGGTTTGGGCAGAAGGGCTCCACCTTCATTGTAGCCTTTGTGCAGAAAGGATGGGCCAAGGGTAGTAAACTACGGAGAGGAGTGCAGGGGTTAAATATGGGAGGCAAAAGGAATTTGGAAAAGGTTACCAGTCGTTCTCTGGAGAAGCCCTAAGTAAGGAAAGGCTGTTACAAATAATAAAGGCCAGCGAGTGACCGAACAAGAAATCGTTCCAGCATAAAAGCAGCAAACATCGTACGACAGGGAAGCATTAACTCATTTCCTCATCACTGACCACCAGAGGGAACTCTTGCAACAAGATTCCCACGAGCTTCCAGCAGAGAAAGCCAAACCTGACAAAAACCTCCACCAACTCCCGTAGTTTTGTGGTTCAGATGAAAACAGGGGGAGATGGGGTACAAGGGTGGGGACTGGGAAGGGAGGGGAAAAAAACCCCAAGACTATGGGCCCTCAGTCAAAAGGAGAAGTTTTTACAGTGGTCTGGCAGGGGTCAGAAAAATGGTGAATTTTGCCATTGTAAGAAAGTCCTGCTTTGTTTGTTTGAAGTCTGTGAATGACCAAACAAAATAGACATCTTTCCTTGCTGCTATGATTTAACCCTCCTGGTGTCCTGGGCTCTCAACAAGGACCTGGAGCTTTTAAAATCTGTGCAAAACCCAGGCATGGAAGTGTGCTGCTTCTGCAACTGGCTAGCAAACCCCACATGTCACCAGGGAAACTGGGACTCTAGCTTCCAAATAATGACTGGCTCCTACCTACCGTCCATCTGGAGGGAGAACAGGATCACCAGAGGAAGGATGTTGATTTGTTAAACCATCGGATAAGCTGAAATCAAGCACCTGGTGTTTTCTTATATATTTGGTGAACCGCAGGCCCCCACCTGTAAGACAGAATATTTTCTCACTGGGATATCATGAAGGTCAATACAATCCTAGTTACCTGACTCAATGCCAAAGTCCCATCCGTGAGACAGTTACAGGGCTCTGAAGTGTCCTACAAGAAAGCAGAGCTGCTGTCAGCCAGGCAGGAGCACAGCACCCTCACGGTTAAGGACAGCTGTGCTTTAACATTATGTTTATGCAAGTGCTGCCACATGGAGACCACACAGTTGAAAAAGCACATTCCTTTCTGGAAAAAGCTCACAGAATTGAGCAGAGCTGGAACAGAATTCAATATGCATTTATCCAGGCTCTATAGGCATTAGTCTGGAATTCAAGAGGTCTTGGAGAATGATCTAAAAGCTGTAATTCTGGCTCCCTTCATATAGCCATTACTCTTAGTTTGTGCACACACATACATTCCTCTGTGGTACCAGTGGAACTTAAACTCTTCCCTATTTGCAGGCCCCTGCGGTAACACAGTCAGTAAACTGCCCTGCATAAAAATAAACTTTTTCTTTTTGCAGGGCTATTTTTAACCCAGAACAGCTCATTGGCCCAATTCAGCATGTAGTCCCATGAAAACAGCTGTGCTGGCACCAGCGTGGGGTGGGAATGTGCAGCTGGCAGGGAAGATGAGGGCAGGAACTGCTGGTACAGCTCTCACGGAAAAAGCACAGCGAGCTGCGCCCTTAAGGTGCAGGCAAGCCTGGCTTCACACAAGCTACCACAGCGAGCTGCAGAAGCTGGGGAGCCACGGGGGGATTGGGACCCACCCTGCAGCCCTCCTAACGGAACGTACCGACTGCAGAGACAAGTCCTAGCCGCTCTCCTGGGGCAAAAGCCGGGCTTACACCGGCGCCCCTGAACCCTCCTCCTGCCGGCCCGTGACAGAAAAGCCGAGCGCCGGCAAGGCATGAGGAGAGACAGGCCCTGCAAGCGGTCGCTGCTGCTCTCAGATACCCAGAGCGGACCGTCCCAGTTGCGGGAAGCCCCCACCGGTACCTGCACA